GAGAGAGAGAGAGAGAGAGAGAGAGAGAGAGAGAGAGAGAGAGAGGGAGGGAGGGAGGGAGAGAGGGAGGGAGCTGGGGACGAGCTGAAAATTTTTTTAACTACCTGTGGGGCAAAAGAAAGAAAGTCCTGCACACGCTGCGCAGTACAGAAAAGAATGGCCTGCCGCCATGCTGGGCCATGCCTGGGACCAGGATTTCCCGTTTGGGGTGCCAAGGGCTCGTGTGAGGCTATATCCAGGGTATCTTTTATATAGAAGACTTATCCTGTTGTACGTGAGGTGATTCGTTGACTGTGACATTTGCTTTTGCTTCATTCACTACATACACCCCAGAAATATGCGTAGGAGTAGTGCTGGTGAGTGCATCATGCCTGTGTTGCTTGCCCTGTCTGAGCTTTCTTTTCAGGCCTTTTGCTGTCCTATCCTCCCCTATCTGCCTGCAGTGGCCCCTCCATACTGTTCTATCTGATCCGGGCGGGTTCTGCCTCTCAACTCATTAGCCCAGTGTTGACAGGTGTTTACCCTTCATCCTAACGGTATGGCATGATGTACCGAACAACCCAAAAACTCAGTGTGCAATGATGTATTCTACTATTCTTACTATTTTACGATTTTTGTATGCTGAGTCCTATTGGACTTCGTTTTCGCAGGTTTACCCAAGGGAGATCCTCTTCGAGATAGGAGGTGGGACATCTACGCCCTCATACACACACACACCCAGACACACACACACACACAATGTCACAGTTTTTGTGAGCTCCATGGTGTTTGCTGTAGAAGATTCCCACAAAGGGAGGTGGGTCAAACCGTTTGTTTTCTGGATCTATTTAAGAAAATTTGGATCTACTCATCTTGGTGGAAAAGTAGTCGTTACGGTGGCAATTTCCAACACACACATGCGCTTTCATCACTGAAAATCGGCATGTGAGTATCTATCATGGATAAACATACAAGCATAATGTTGTTTCCAGTTACTTTGTAGCATACTTGCCCTGGACCGAAAGTTCCCCTACACCTGTGGGGGTGCACAAGGTGCAGAAGCACCAAAAGTTCCCGTGCAAAAAAAGACGAAAATTTGAAAAGAAAAGTATGTGATCCAGAAAATATTTAACATCTTTTTAAATTATATCGTGAGTTTAAGGTCAAAGCAGTTTGTTTCAAATCTGGATCTACTCATCTGGGCGAAAGGGGTTGTTATGGTGGCAATCTACACACACACACACACACACACACACACACACACACACACACACACACACACACACACACACACACACACACACACACNATGTTCCGGCAGTGGCAGTTGTGGAAATTTGGGTACTAGAGCAGCAGAGCCTAGAAGCAGCAATATTGGAATAGTTCTGTTTGACTTTGTCAGCAACTCAGAAGAGGAGTTATTGAGTGAACAATAACAATGTTTCTGTATCACCTTTGCCTGGTCTTTTGCAGCCCTGTCCTTCTGGAATGAGTCCTATTTGATCAGCACGAAGTGGCAGGAACCCACCCCGCATTTCAAGCATGTCTAACTCTAGCTGTTTAGCATCATGTTCGCGTGCAGGGACCGAACCCGAAGGTTCGTGACCGAACGCAAACGAGCTCCAAAACTCTCCGAACGCGAACATAAAAAATATCAAAAAAACAAAACAACAACAAAATTCTCAGAAAAATCTGAAAAAAATATATGTTATCATTTTTATCAATTTTTATGTAAAATAATAATACAAAGAACTTTTGCCTGGGAGGCATGTTCAAATTCTTAGCCAAACGCAAAAAAAAGAAAAGAAAAGAAGAAGTCATTAAAATAAAAAATAATGGTTACGAATCTTACTATCCAGACGTCAGGACCGCAGTGCAGCTGTCTCTTATACACATCTAGATGTGTATAAGAGACAGGAGAGAGAGAGAGAGAGAGAGAGAGAGAGAGAGAATGCTCTCCGACCTTCTCCTCTGCACAGCTAGAGGCACTGTTACACTCGACTGCAGCCATATTGTCTCTGCACTGGGGTTTCTGCAGCCCTGCCCTTCCTTCCCTGACTGTGCTTACCCATCCGTATCTGGACATCATATGTCCATTTTCCGATATTGAATGCATGGTCTTCATGTGATGCCTCTTCTTCCCTCCTGTTGGCCTGCAACCAACATGCCATTTGTTGGGAGCGTTTAGTGGGCGTGGGTAATGCCAGCTGTCATGGCAAACGCTCTGCTGAGAATGCTCAGCCAGGTCTTCCATGTTGTCGCCCATCTCATCCCTTCCATTGGTGCCCCCACTGTTGTCAAGAGCAGACTGACTCCTTATTCTTCTCTTATTGTCCCCTATACTTATCGTTGTTCCATCTCTCCTCCCTCTGTACCCGTCTCCGTTTGCTTTGCCTCGCCCGGACAAACAGCCTAGCTATTTTCTGAAAAGTTTTGGCAAAATGTCCAATTATTCCAAAACACGAAAAAAATCCGGAAAACTGAAGTGCAACGAGCCCGTCAATCATGTGAAGCTTCCACAAGTTGACGATGCAAGTATCCACAATGTACTCAAATCTTCAAAAGAGTCCAAATGGAACCACTTGGAGCATACACAAATTAAGGCCTTATCATCACAGAATGGCAAAATCAGCGGCCAGATCGAGTCTCCCGCTTTTAGAACGTGTCAATCTAGGCGCTGATGTTGTGTTTCTACTATTATTGGGGGCTAGTGTGAGTATATGCCCTCACAGTGCAGAATAAGTCCAAAGCACTCGATGCTTGAAGCTCATGTACGAGCAAGTTTTGTCTCGCTGGCATGTTCTATTGGGGGTAGGGCCTCAGTAAGGAAAAGGAAGGGGAGAGCGAGGAGGAAACGATCTACCTGCACCAAATGCGTTGCAGGATTGTCTATGCCACCCGCTTAAACACTAATGAAGCCGTTCTTTGACTTTCGCGTGATGCTTTCAGGCGTGCCCTTGATAGAGATGAAGATTGTGAGGTTGCATTCAAAAAGTTTTACCCACTGTGAGACACGCGGAATCTGCCTGTACACAACACCAGCAACAATTTCTGTTTTTTTTTTTTTTTTTTTGCTGTTTTCGTAGATGCAGAAGAGTGTACTAGCTAAGGTAAAGAATCAAAAGATCCTTGGGACATCAGTCTTGACTGTTAGATGGTCACATTAGTCTCCCGAGTCCGAATTTGTTTTCCTTTTTTTCCAATGCTACAACAAATTTTCAAAGGGGGTGCAGGTGACCACGGATCCAGGCCTAAGGCCTGTTTTTTCCCCCTGGGTGCCTATTTCCCCTGTGTGCCACACTCCCCTGTGGCGCACGAGTCCCGTGCGCTTGTGCACCGTACAATGCGTACATGCGCAATTGCCTGCAGGGTGTGCGCTTGCATGCATAGTTTTACCTAGTGGAGGGTAAGGTAGCTGACATGCAAGATAACAAAATGTTCATCTTAACCTATGGGAAAATAAACTCTCTGACATCTTCTGCTTCTTTTTTTTTGTTTTGTTTTTTTACCAGCTGCGGTCTGCTAGAGGCGGTGGCACCACCCTCTAGCAGACCTGTCGCTGATTGCTCCAGCCTATTGTTGGGGAGCATGCTGGAAACCGGGTCCAGCATCCCACACACATCCGCTGTGGTTCTCCGCTTCTGTGTCAGTCAATCCCACAAGTGATGAGCAGGATATAAGTATGGGTTTGTTCGACCTAATGTGACGGGCTGATCACCTCTTGGTTACTGTTCAAAGGCACAGTGGACTACATTTGGTGGGCTTTCCAATCATCACGTCTGAGATGAGGTTACGCGGTCACTCCTTCCTTCTTAGGTAGTAAACACACACCGCTATCTCATAGTCGAGGAGCATTTATGATTGACGGAACAGAAAGCCTGTTCTAGCACAGCTTCGCTGAGGAGCAATTCCTGTGTATACGGGTGAGCAGATTAAAATCTTTCCCTTACAGGAATCCCTCAATGCTGTTGTCTCAAGGGTAGTGCTTATTTTGAAGGATACGGTTGTTTTCTGAAATAACAGGGACTCATTAATGAAACAAGTGAGATGCGCTTAGAACTTCAAGATTGATCAGGATGCGTATGTAGTTAGCTGAAGGGGAGCAAGCCAAAGGACAGGGTGAGGAGCGTCAATCCTTCCTGTTCAGGAAGGATAATCATATTTTTTTGAAGTGTTCAAAATCACTCCTTTCGCAAACTCGTTTTGTAATACAGTCTCACAAAGGTTCTGGTGTACACCGGCTCATCAGTCCTTTGATTCCGTTGATTTCAGGTTGGGGAAACTACGTTAAGTTTTTTCGGAATGCTCTGCAATCTTTTCACCGTTATGGATTTCCGGATATTTCAACAACTTTGTGAAGGGATCTTTCGTAGACACCCTATCTGTTTAACCTCCAATCCTTTTCTTCAAATTTCCTTCCTGTTCAGGAAGTAATCAAAGCACAGCTGTCTCAGGTTAAAATCTCCTCCATAACGGAGGAAAGAGAGCAGGGGTTTATTTATGTTAGGGATGCTGAGCCCGTCTTTCAGCAATAAGGAAGGCTCTTGAAAGAAAGGGGAAAAAAAAAAGTAATGTTGACGGTTGACCTCCTCTTGCTGGGTGCTTCAAATGTGTTGCAGGGCTAAGTGCTGAAACCAAACAGGCGCTTCGACGACAGTCAAGCTCAGGTAATTATGAACTAACTGTCTTTCTGCTTTGTTAAACAACCAGTACACCCGAGCCTGCAGGTGCCTTACTGTGCGCCAAGCTTTTCCGAACTGCCAGCGGCACACTTTTTTTCTTTATCGCCTGGCGCTGCCATCCATTGTGGTCCGGTAGGACGAGCCGCCAAAATTTTCATAAGTGACAAGTTTCTTTTTCAGCAAGGCTGGGGCACAATTATCATAGCTAACCTGGCTTGAAATTATGCATACCAAATATTATCAATGACTATAGCAGCATAGCTGTGTCAATGACTATAGCTGTGTCAATGACTGTAGCTGTGTCAATGACTAAAAGTGTATGCCATTAGGTCCAGGTTGATGCATAGTCCAGGTACTTCTTTAGCATGTCCACATTACCTGCTTTTTGTTTTTTCCTTCAAGAATTTGGCTTTCTCCTTCCTTTGTTCTTTCTGTTACACTCCCTCACCCTCACCGCTGTCTCCGGCCTTCAATAGCTTAATCTGACTGGACACATGCTCCTAGGTGCTCAATGTGTCTTCTCTAGAAGGGACTTCCTTGTGCCTAGTTACTCTGGCCAGACCTTTCTGCTCGAGCCTCTACGAATCAGATTAAGATCTGGTTGAAAGCAGACTAGCGCACATCGCGGACACCTTCCTCCACAAAAGGGGGTCGAAGTTAGTGTCAATGTTTGGGGTTCAGGCGGTTAGCCACAGGGCCAGCTTAGTGCAAGGGGTGTTTTGGGGGCTGCAGTCATCTGTACACCAAAGGATAGTGAAAGTGTGTGTGGGGGGGGTGCATATGTAAGGGTTGTAAGCACAAGCGGTGATGCGCTGTAAACCCTAAGCCGGGAAAGAGGAGGAGGGAAGCGGAAAGAAAGTTGGGAAATGCATCTGGAACAAGACATCCCGTATAAATTGTAATGATAGTATTATTGTATATGTTTAAAAAAATTGTTTCATTTGTGAAGGGAGGGGCCAGGGAAAGAAATTCAGAATGTTATGATCCGTCAGAAATTCTCAGAATTGCTTTTGGCAAATACTAACGTCACCATTTGCACTGACCCTGGATTGATTGATGGTTATTTTAACAGGCAAAATGGTCATCGAGATGACAGGATTGGAAGCAGGGAGCGAGTTTCCTGATTCAGAGTCCTCCCTTTGCTTGATATCGAACAGAGGGTGGTTTCAAAGCAACGCAGCCACCAAAAATTCAAACCCGTATGATGTGGTGTTTGAGCAGAGGCCCCTCCCAGGACTGAAGACGAAGGAAGCTGTTGATGCAAAAATACCTGCAGTTCTGAGAGGAATGACGGACATGGAGCTGGCTGCAAGTGCACTAGGTGGTCTCATCAGCTACCTTGGAATGCTGAAGGTATTTGTTGCCGTCTATGTCGAAGTCTACAGAACATAGTGGTATTGTGAAATAGACGATACTATTAAATTGGGAAGTAAAAACTGAGACTCTGAGAGTGTAATGGCGGAGTTCTTTTCTGACGTTGTGTTTGTCATCGTGTCTTTGCGTGGAACATGCGCAGAGGGTGGAGAGGGGCGTTGGGGCTTTGTGGGAAGTTTGATGAAGGAGCTATGCACTCTTCATCCACACTTTGCAGGGAAAATCCGATGAAGGAGATATGCGATATTCATTCATGCAAAGTCTGGCTGAGTCTTTGGACATGCATTGACATAACTGCAGATGTGCCCATCGTCGTTTTCTTAGTTTGTCCAAGTTCCGGTGTGACATGTTGTGATCTGTTCCTTTTGGAAAAAAGAAGAAAGGGGCCGATGGCCTTGAGGCCGGCCGCAGGTAGTTCAGAATTCATTGTTTTCATCTAGGCTACCAGAGTGGCCGGGGACCACTTGCCCAGCCGGGCCAAAAATAAAATAAAAATAAAATAAAATAAAATAAAAATAAAAATAAATATAATGATAATTTCATTTTTATTTTAAATTTGGTAAAGAACTTCGATGTGACCCTGAGGCAAAAGTTGTTCAGTTTATTTTTCTGCACAACATAGTTGTTTTTTGTTTTTTTTCAAAATTTTTGGATTTTTCATTTTTTTGCTGGGAGCCTGGGACGTTCTGTGGTCCTTGCACGGGTGGGCCGCCCGGGAAAACAAGGTCACCCGGGGGGCCCCGGCTGGTAGCCTAGGTATTCATCTGATTCCATCAGGATTTGAAGTTTGAACTCATGTCTGTTTATTCGACATGGAAGTACTATTGCTCGATTCGAGCCTTTTCGAGGATTGTGTCCTGTAAGTGTGTCGTCCCGTATAAAAGGATCTCTTCTGTCTGCCTATTTTTAACCAAATAAGAATGAGTGTTTTCATTTGGGAGAGTTCCAATCTTGCCACTCCCGGTTGCCCACCTGGGTCTTTTTTTTTTTTTTTTTTTTTTTTTTTTTTTTTTTTTTT